GGGGGGCCTTTTGGAGAAAGGACCTTTTGTAGACAGCGACACACTCTCCACCAAGACTTGCTGGCTTGCTGCCAAGTGACCCCGGTCCGGTAGTTGTCCAATACGACATGCGACCGGGGTGGGCACAGGATAAGTTTGCGAGCACTGGCAACTATGTGGCAGCTACCTTTTTTTCCCCGGCCGCAAGATCTCTGGGGTCTTGACGGCTGGCGGTGACGGTGAAGGGGGGGGGGGGGGGGCTTGTCCCGCAGTGGTTGTGGCGTGCGAGATACAGAGAAAATGCAACCGCGTGGTTTTCGGTGAGGACATGATGGATGCGGATGGGGAAGCGACATCTTGTGATTGCGATGGCGCAATTCGGATGAGAGGGCAGACGGGGAGATGCTTCCTTTCAACGGATGCGTGGGAAACAGGAGGGCATGTAATGACGACCAAGGTGAGGCGAAGAGGGTGAACCCTTCGGACGAGGCTTGAGACATTCCAGCGGGGGTAAAGAGTCAACGCACAACTACTGGTAGTCTGCTGTGTATGATGACGCTTCTAGAAGAGACAAAGGGCCTTTTGGACAATGGGGTAGTTCGTCTCACTGAGACATTGCTTCTACGCATATTGGCAATGTCTCGGGTATGAGGCAGCAGCTGAAATCACAGCTGATAGACGATAGAACTCCAAATCGTTGGGAACCAGGGGAGGAAGGGTGTGATTCTTGATGCGAAGCTGTGCGTAGCCTGTCTGGATGCGTTGCTCTCATGCAGCATGACTGAGACCCCAGATGCCAACCCCGACCTGCAATAACTAGGGTGCATTTGCCCAATGCCAGGCGAAAGATATTCTACATCCACGGCCGCGGGCCTTGACCCTGCACACACCTCTCCCCCCGGTCGAATCTATCTGCATGACAAGGCCAGGGAGGGGGCGTGTCTTGGTGTTCTGTCTCGTCCCATCCCTCCCCTCCAATTACTGGGGATTAATTACCGGGGTTCATCGAAACGCCAGCTCGTCTCTTTCCCTGCGCGCATCAAGCAATAGCAAAAAAGACAGCAGTTGTATATTATAACAGGGTAAATATAGTAGCAAGTTGCGTCTCCGAAGTCGGCGAGGGAGGGAATCTCGACCGCTAAAAAAAAAAAAAAAAAAGAAACGCGCGCCGTTGTCTCTGGTCGCTGTTGGCAGGTATGCATGTACCTGTCCGTCCGTCCATCACTCGCTCCAAACCTCGGGCGAACGGTGATCTGCAAGGCCCGAGGAAGCAAAAAAGCAAGTCCCCCTCCCCCCTTCAAAGTCCAAACTTCACCTAGATGCGAAGCAGTTAGCGTCATCAAGGTGATTGAGTTGAGTGAGCAAAACTCCAGTCCACCGCCCGCCGCGATAGCTAACATCTTAGCGCGTCTTTCCCCCTCAAAATCCACATCACTGCTCGGTTCTCGTTACATAATAACTTCTGGGGAGAACCTTGTTCTTCCCTTTAGCCTCACGAGTTTGCCCTGCCTGGTCTTCTTGAGATTATTAGTGAAGAACCGGGGGGTTGAAGAAAACTTGGCTCCGTTTGCAGTGGATGAGGGCGTGCTATCTGCCGAGAAGTCGCGACTTCGTTTTCACGCGAGCTGATTGACTACTATCTAGAGTCGGCGTTTTTTTTTATCTTCTTCTCTGTGTCCTTTTTATTAACCATCAAAACTGATAATCTTGTCCCAAACAAAGCATGGGAGGCTGCGCACAGCAAATCAATGCATAGACCTACACTGCATGGCAACACTCTGGCGTAACCTTCCCCCCTCCCTCCTTCCCCTCCCTGTTCTTATTCCAGTCTCATTCCCGGAGCCAGAAACATATTTGTCTGTAGTGGCTCGACTGGGCCCAGCGCAAGGACCAATGGGATTGACGTTCGCAATCTCGTAGGACTCAAAGTGCTGGGCTGGTAAGCATCATCTTGTTTGGGTTGAGTTGATGAATGCTGCGCAACCCACTGCACGCCCTCGCTGCATGCACGTCGCCGTCACCGCTGATTACAGATGCAGGAATGCAAGTTTGTTGAGCTTGAGTTGTGGGGGGAGAACATGCGTTGGCATCTATCTTGGATGAGAGAGGGTCTCCTAGTGCCTGGCCGTCTTACACATGGCGCGTAACTATTTACTGTTTTGGCTCCTCCTGATTCGACCAGGCGGCGTATCCGACCCCTCTCCAACCCGGCCAACGATTCCAAGCCCTTTTCTCTATGGTTTCAAGAAAGAAACTCCCCGCAAAATGGAGTGAACGGGTCCTCAAAGGCCGGGGGGGATGAACTGCACACCCTTGGCTCTTGCAACTGTCGAGTTTAAAATCATAAGCGATAAAACGCCACAGATTACCTGCTTGTTGAATTCCGGTTGCCTGCCGGGGGTGGTGGGGGTTCTGTTCTTCGCCGTGCCCGCTCTGACG